AGTGTTGAGACCTGTAATCAATGTCTTAATGTATGTCTTCAGCGGAGCACGACTTCCAAGTGATTCGTTTCAGTTCATACAGAACTGCATCGAAGTTACGGTTCATTCAACACAAGACCAACTGTAAGTGATTAACACATTCAGACACTATATGTGACACAAATGACATGTTTTGCCCGCAAATCGCAGTCCATTATATAGACCTCTGGAACGCCATTGAATCCATTCGTGACAATGGTTTGCATAGCTTTCAAGACATGTCGGCAGAGATATCAGTACAAAGAATGGAAGCGTTGATCGCATCCGTCTATTATTCGCTCTCTAAACGTCTTCCGCAGTCATTAACTTTCAATTTAGACCAATCTATTGAACTCATGTTCAGTTGGCTTTTGATGGCTTACGACCCGTAAGACAATCTTGTTTTTTGTTTACAATAGCCGTTGTCTTAGATGTACTCTAATTGTTATCATTGTAATGACAGCTCCGGTGTCGGCAAAGTCAACGTATTTGCTCTCAAGATTGGGTTTGCGATCATGTGTTCGGGAAAACTGATCGACAAATTGCGGTATATTTTCTCTCTTATATCAGATCCCACTCGCGGTCTACTCATTGAAAGTCATTTCAATGCGTTTCTTCGCGAAGCGATGGCACTGACGGCCAGTGTTTCTGAAACGACAACTTTTCAATACGACGAAAGCCTTTCGGCGTCGATCTTCGACTTCACTCAAGCAATAGATTTGCATTCATTTATGTCTGTCTTTATTACGACAAACAGTCCTCCGCTTTGTATCTCATGGGTTGTGATTCTGCACCGGATGTCAGAAGTAGAGCACGTCGTGCATCCCATTAGTTGTAATGCCTGTAATCGCCAGCCTTTCAATGGGTTTCGATATAAGTGCCAAAAGTGTTTTAACTACAACCTCTGTCAGGACTGCTTCTGGAGGGGCCGACAGTCGGGTGCGCACAACGCCGACACTCACGCCTGTAAAGAGTACGGCTATTGGAAGTCACCGACCAAACAGATCGGACACTCTCTAAGGAAGAGCTTTCGTTGTATTCCTTCGACTCGAACTCAACTCCAATATATCGACGAACCGCCGAAAGACAAGCGCTTCAATCTGAGTCATATCGTTCCTCCCTCTCCCGTCCCATCCATACACCACATGAATGGCACTGATTTGCGCTCCACTTCCTGTGACTTGGAGTCACTCTATGGCAGCTCTAAGTATCGATCGCCTCCTTCTGTCTACACGACTGCAACCATTGATTCAAAGAATGCCGACGAAGAGCACCGACTTATCGCCAGATACGCGGCCTCTTTAGCCAACTTTAATAAAAGTTCTTCGTTGCCAACCAATGGCTCGGATCTCGTGAATGATATTTCGCAACAGCAGAGAGTTATCTCACAATTAGAAGACAAGAATCGAGAGATTATGAAAGAGATTGAAAGACTAAGAATCGAGAAACAAGAGAATGACGCGAACGACTCGCGAATCAAAGCGAGTGGTTATTACGCGAATGTGAGCCAAACACAAATGGATCCCATTTTAGTGACAGAATTGTTTACTTTGAGAGAACGCAAAGAAGAACTTGAATCTCATTTAAGTGCACTACAGGACAGTCGGCGACAACTGATGGTTCAATTGGAAGGACTGATGAAGTTATTGAAAAATCACGGAAACCTATTGGCCATTCCTAACAGCGCTCCGGTTTCGGCCGCTTCTACACTGAATCGTAAAATTGGGGGCAATTCCTCCTCCGAGTCAATACAGAGTGACATAAGTAGCGTCACTGTATCGACAGTGAATCGAGACCTGTTGGTCGCCGCAGACTCTGTCACTAATGCAATGTCTTCTCTCGTCAAAGAACTCAACTCTGGAGATGAAGACGAAGACTTGGCCAATGAGTTCAACAAAGTTATAGTCAATGATATCAACACTAATAGAGAGCTTGAAATCACAGACAAAGACATCGAACTCGAAGAACAAAAATTGGTACAAAAACTAGTGGTTTGATATGAAATGCCAAACACTTGTTATAATTTGTTTTAATTTATAGAAATCCAAAGCATTGGCCGCTTCGGTGGCTTTCTCTTAAGTTATATTGTTTTGTTGTTATTATTATTTTTCGTTAAATGGTATGTCATTCCTATGTTTGGTTTGAATGTTGTATTTCATTGAAAACCTTTCAAATGATTGCCAATTAATTGATTCATTGCTTCCAAATAACAGGACTTAAAAGTATTTTCTCTCAAAAATAATATAAGTATTAAATCAATGAAAGAAAATTCAAAGAGTGGCTCATATTGTAGTACTACTGATGATGAGAGCTATATTCGCACCGACGAAGACCTCGACGACGATCTTCAATGGAGTATATCATCGAAACAGCGAAACTTTATTTACCGTTAAATGTATTTTATTACAAATATTTATAAATTTAAATGCTATACAAATAAAATCATTTTTATTATTTAATTATTTAATAAACATTTTTATTGATATAATTTAATTAGAAAAATAGTTAATAAATTACTGTTTANCGACTTCTCCGACGACTACAACCCCTCCGACCAGTCCTTTAGAAAAGCAAGAAATGATTGCAACGACAGCTGCAGATCAAAGCGAGAGTGCACTCAATGTTTCTTTAGCCGCAACGCCAAGGATTGACAAAATGACTGAAAAAACACATCCAAACCCTAAAAGTATTCCCGACGAAGACATTCCCAGTGTTTCCTCTGAACCAATTTCAAGTCAAACTCTATTGAGTCGCCAATCGAGTGAGTCGTCCAACACATCCATGAGAACTACTCAATGGAGCCCATCTTCTGAATGGATCAACTCATGGAAACAGAAGCTTCCGTTGCAGACAATTATGCGTATGCTTCAGGTGTGACAATAAGCCTATCAAACCCTTATTAATGTCTAACATGTTATCATATACTGTATTGTCCATCAGGTTCTGGTACCACAAGTGGAGAAGATGTGTATTGACAAAGGGATCACTGACGAGAACGAGATCCTCAAATTCTTACAACACGGAACACTTGTGGGACTCCTACCGGTTCCGCATCCCATACTAATCAGGAAATATCAGACTAACGCCGGGACCACACTTTGGTTCCGTACATACATGTGGGGAGTGGTGTACCTGAGGAACATTGAGCCTCCCATTTGGTACGACACTAATGTCAAGCTCTTTGAAATACAAAAACTATAAACTTTTCGATCAAATCTCGAGATCTGTTAAAGAGAAAAGTAGACAATTGTTTGGACACATATTTGATGGCATTTTCGTAACATTCCTTAACTCAACCAAACTTTCCAAATGAGCACAAAATTATGAATGCATTTAAATTACCGGTATTTGTATTACAAAGAGAAAAGTAGACAATTGTTTGGACACATATTTGATGGCATTTTCGTAACATTCCTTAACTCAACCAAACTAAGGTTTACTCGTGTTTTAATACTTACGTAAATTTAATGGCCATAAACATAATGTCATAATAACAAGTGTAAGGTCAGTACTCAGCTAGATTCAGAGCTGAAAATTATGTAAAATTTAATTAAATTCATTTAATATATCGTCCGTTTCTTATCAAATGTATTGAAGTCATTGTTTTCCCGATATTTTAATTTATTTTATTTATAATTTTTATTATATTTAATCGATGTTTGCATTTAAAGAGTCTATATATTACTGATAATTAAAACATGTCTTTATTTGATACGATTATTTTGATTCCTACGATTACTTTATTTAATATATCTATACATAACTCAAGAACTACTTGAGAAGCTCTCTATCGGTCACATATTCTTTGGGATACCCAATAAGCCGGTCGTCGTTGGGGCGCATCACTTGATCCACAATTAAAGACAAGTGTGAATACATGTGACGAATGGTGTGCTAAGACTCACCCATATATCGCTCTTTGAATCGAGTGATGTGTCCGCCGGGAGGGGTGTGAGCGACCCGATAGACCATACAAATGCCCGCAACCACTCCGATGCCCACCGAGAAGAACAGAGTCGGCACTTCATCCCAACCCTGTTTGATCACTGCCACATCTGTGCCAATACAACACAACATCAATCAATGCATTACACATTACAATGACTTACATTTCTGATACCTTCCGACCACTCGCGCCAACATATCTTCAAACTATGACTAAATCCACATTCAATTCAATCTATAATTCACTTCAAAATCACAACAATTTGTTTATCAATCAAAATATTTACCACAAAAAGTGTTATACGACTAGAGGTGTGGATAAGCCATAAGTGCCGTAAGTGTGTAGAGATGTGAGCATCTGTTGCCATATTTGGCTCAAAACATAGACAATTAAATTAAGACTTTTTTGTTATCATTAATTGATTTGAAGATCAAAATCAATGAATTAGTGGCCAATCAGTGAATACAATGTCTGAATAACTATCCGAAGAAGTGATGCCGCGAAAGGAAAAACAAGAAATGCATTATTTATCTGAAAAATATGACCAAATGGTGACCGAAATGAGTAAGTTTTGAGAGATTGTTGTACCGAAAGCCGGACCGAGTGTTGAGACCTGTAATCAATGTCTTAATGTATGTCTTCAGCGGAGCACGACTTCCAAGTGATTCGTTTCAGTTCATACAGAACTGCATCGAAGTTACGGTTCATTCAACACAAGACCAACTGTAA